TCTTGAGCTCGATGAGCGACAGCGTGCCCGTGATGTCCATGAAGGTCACCATGCCGAAGTCGAGCACGACGTGCTGGAGCTGCGCCACTTCGGACCGGATGGGCGCGATGCCCAGGCGCTTGCGGATGCGCGGGATGCGCTTGAGGTCCGACACGTTCCAGCTGCGGTCGGGGGACTTGAGGTCGACCTCGTTGGAGGCCGGCTCGTAGCGCACCTTGACGGCCTGGACGATGTCGCTCTTGAGGCGCTCGGCGTTGGGGAAGAGGAGGTCGTCGGTGAAGCGGACGTAGAAGGCGTTGGCGGGGACGTCGATGGCGTCCGCGGTTGGGCTGGGCTTGGGGATGTCCCATTGGAGGGTCTCTGTCTCTGTGTGGGAGAGCTTGATGAGACGTGGGAAGGCGAGGCGGAGGAGTGTCACTACGATATTGAAGCCCACTGCGGTGGCCAGGCCGATTTCAGTTGAGGTGAATAGGGTGACCCAGAACCCCAGCATGGAGGCTGTGAAGTCGACAAAGGACATGCGGTAGTAGCGGTAGAAGAGGCGAGGGGGAGAGATGAGGTTGACAACAGCCATGATCTGAATAACATGTCAGAGGGGAAGTGATCAAGCAGAGAGAGATAAGGTGGGAACATACAATGATCGCAGAAAGTGTGGCCTTGGGGATCCAGTATAAGGCTGGAGCCAGCTTGTACAAGGTGAGAATGATCCAGCCAGCGGTGAACAGAAAGTTGACAGGTGTTCGAACACCACACTCCGAGTTTACTGCTGTACGGGACATGGCAGCACCAGCTGTAAGTTGTTAGTTAGCCACATATATTCTTCGGTTGTTCTTGGGGGGTGTGGGAAGAAACTCACTGGTCATGGCACCAAAGAAACTGTTGATCAGGTTCGAGACACCCAAGAAGACCAACTCCTGACTCTTATCGATGTTATAACTGTTTCGAAGCCCGAATGCCTTTCCAACACCGAGATGCTCGACCGCCATGGCGATGAGAGGAGCAAAGGCTCGGGCAATGACCTTGTTCAAGAGAGTGCCCTCTGGAACTCGAGGTGTCCAGAGCCCATTCGTCTTGACCTTGGTGACCTCCCACTTGTAATCATCGGCTTCGAGGTTGTGGTTGACCAGATATGAGATGAGGGTGTAGAGGATGAGGACCACGACGGCACGGCTTGTCGAGAGGATCTTGAGGTACTTGTTCTTCTTGCCCCATCGCTTCCCGACCTGCTCGAGGACGACAAGGAGGAAGATGCTGGTGAAGCCTATAGCGAGGGTCAACGGTTGGATTTGGTTGAGATGCCCCAGGATGCCGCGGATGATCTCCGCTGTGCCCGAGGGGACGTCCATGCCAATCAAGCTATCGATTTGACCCATGAGAATCACAAGGGCAACGGCGGAGATCCATCCTGTCAGGACAGGGGCGGAGACGAAGTCGAGGAGGAAACCGAGTTTGAGGAGACCTATGGCAAGTGTGAAGACACCGACCATGAAGCAAACAGCAGACGAGATAGCAGCAGCACCATAGCCTTCGGAAGAGAGATCGGCAACAACCTCGGCGGTAAGGAGACCTAGGATAGAGGTTGGACCGGTGGAGAGTTCTAGTTGAGTCAAGGTGAGATTGTAATCGAGGAGTCAGGGGCTTCCTGAGATAAGGGGGAAATTTACCTTTCGAAGTTCCGAGGAAGAAATACAAAGCAGATGGGATCCAGCAAGAGTACAGACCGTGCTCTACGGGAATGGTGGCGATTTTGGCATAGGCAAGGCCTTGAGGGATGAACATGACACCCACTGTAATGCCTCCAATAATATCCTGGACCAGCCACTTATAGTGGTAGTGAGGAAGCCATTGTGCAACGGGCAACTTCTCAACGAGATAGTCAACAGTTGCGGACGGGAGGCGCCTCGAAACGGGTTCGACCCATCCCTTGACTCTGTTGATGTTTGGATCAGTCTCGTACTGCTGGGCTAGGGTCTGCTTGGTCTTAGACGCCCAGGACTTGGTTTTGTCCGCAGCACCCATCTTGGGTTTAGATGAGAAAGTGAGAAGACCCAAGTAATAGGGAGGAGAAAAGAATTGTTCAGTATAGTTGCAACTGAAAGAATGTGAGACAAGCAGACCAATCTCTGGAATTTGAAGAGAGACAGCGTCTCAGGAGTTCAGAGTTTCGATACACTCTTGTCTTTTTAATACTCTCGATTCTGTCTTGCCCAAACGATTTCCCCTCACATTGTTGCCGTTGCATACCTGCAAGTAACACACACCTTTAGGAAAGGCCAACCGCGCATCACTCCCGCAGCATCACCATCCAATTCTGTACGATACCCCCCTCATCATCACCGTCGTCGACTTGCCACACCATTTCGAAAGTTGGAGGGAGGTGTCTTTCCCCTCTCAGAGGGAGTCTGACAGGATGTGAAGCCAGGACGATGTTCCGGTATCATTGGAGGAGAGACTGCGTCTGTTTGGGCAACGTGATCGGTGAGGGGGTAGTCCAATGTAACATACACAACCACCTTGTTCACCGCACGCTTTCCCCCCCTCTTTTAGTCCGGCCTTACCATGCAGTAAACAAATCCCCAAGTCATGCCAAGTTGTTACATCGAGTCACAGGATCTTCGCTCGAGGGGTGTCTTTTGAGCCAGCATACAAGGAGGACCCTGAAGTGACATAGACTCTAGTCTTCAACTGAGCTGAGTCTCATACGCGGTCGCCCTTTACAGGTGGAATTGTAGAAACGGTAGGTGCTCCGTGCCAAGCCCACCCCTGGGTGCCGGTCTTCCGAGCCTCCTCGAAACCAGATACAAGGTGAGAGAGCATTAGATAGCCGCTTGCTAGATCTAGCCCCGCACGGATGGGAAAGAGAAAGATACGTATCCGCTGCCGTAATTCCGAGAGCCCACCACCCCCCGGATTTGCGAAGTAGTGCCCGGTGTGGAGTGCATACGGACTAACAGGGGGATGGGGGCGTGATAACCACATCCCAGGAAACAGGGCTCTTCTGCTGAGATGACTGAAACCCCTCTTGCATGCTGCGTACGTGTAAGACCTCTCGAAAGGAGCTGTGAGATTACGCGGGTTTCTATTTCCGGAAACAAGTGCCCGGCGTGGCCAATAGACGGACGCTCGGCTCGGTGTTAAAGGTCATTCAGCCATATACCCCAAAACGCCAAGGGCAGCCAAGTCATATACGCGCGTCCGTCTGTATATGCTTCTTTTTTACGTTGAATTTAAACTCGCGGGTCTGATTGTGCTAAGCTCGCGGATCTGATTGTGCTAAGTTCGAGGATAAGGAACGTACGATTCGGCATTTGAGTGCTCGAAGATACGCGTAACTCCGGCACATAAGTTCAATCTCCCTTCTAGGTAGGTCACTATCTTCGTTGTGGAACAGAAATGGAAACCGGAAGCCTCCCCGTTTTCAAAAGAGATAGCTCTATCGGTTTCCCGAATTCGGCTTATTTGATGTGGGTTCGTGGATAGCATCTTTGTTCCCTCAGGCTGCCGGTGAAGAGTATCAGCGTGAGGCGGCCTCCAACGACGAGCCTCCAAGTACGTTTGTTGAACAAGGCAAATACTTGGGTTACATCGCTCTTTGGAAGAATGCTAAACGATCCTTCAGAAATCTCGTATACTTATTGGCTGTTTGAATTCGGTGAACATGGGTCGCGAGGGGAGTAGAGGCTCAGGGGGGTGGTTCGTGATCCCCCCCTCATCAACAGCCGGCAACCATCAGGTTCGGCGGCATAACCATATTGAAACCTTATGGATCGTTAGGCAGATAGAGTTATTGGTTCCGCTGTAAATTTGGAGAAGTTTCGGCAAGTTGAGAGGCCGAACTTTGCGAGCTTGCACCGTGAAAACTCCTATCCCTGAGATATTCAGCCCGGCTGAAGGCGATCTGATCGTTCACGCGACGTCACGACTGCATCGTGATGGCATTAAACAAGCTAATCAAGCGGGGAAGTCAATAGATCGCATTGTTCAACGTTATATACGAAACAATCGCGCCTTTCTTGTGATGTCTAGCTTCATGCTTGATCTACCTCGGTAGAGTGCCTCCAAATTGGAGAATACAAGGGGAGAGAGATGAGGAGAAGCGCAACAGGTCACATTGCCACGCAAATACCCCCTCCTTCACTCTTCTGCTAATGCTGACGTGGGGGACCGGAAGTAGGGGAAGTGAGGGGCAGGGTGTCCAAAACTGAACGCATAGAAAGTTCTTACATGGGAAGTGGAAGTTGACTTGCCGACGTGTCATTCAAGTCGATCACACCCCTTATGTTTCACTGCTGTAAAGTCGTAGCACCTGAATGCATTTGCATTGTTACGGTAACAGCAATGGAATTAATGGAGCGTAGATAAACCGCATTGACATGATTTGGCCTATCCTCAACTCTGAGGAACATTTTTAGAAACAGTGATGGTGTAAGTGCCGTTCAATATCACAGTTGCAGTCTGCCTGGCTTATACGCCTGCGTCAGTACCCACTGTCCTGATGAAACGGTGTGAATTTTCTTGGCCGATTCTTCCGACTGAGACTGAAAAGAGGCGATCGCTGCCAACTCTTACTCAATCCAGCACTCTATTTTTTGATTGCCGGATGCCATGCTCTTCCCTGGCCATGCAGCTAGGCGCCGTCACTTTGCATTTGGAAAAGTCCCTGAAATCCTCACGTTTACAAGTAGCACTGAGGAATACCACCCTCTGCAATGTGACGAAGACCTTTGTGATATGAAAAAATTGATAGGCAGTTTATGCCTCACTCTCAATGAATGTTTGTAATGACTATGACTATGAATAGATTTTTGTGGTATCATACAGATGAACAAACTGCCCAGAAACATGTCCGTGAATGATAGATGGATCGCGCAACCAATAAATATCCCAAAACGTAAACTTATGGCCTCGTGATCTCATTCTTGGTGGGCCAGAAAACAAACGGACCGAGCTAGTACATGATTGCAAGTCGAATGCATATCCCAAAAGGGGTCAACTCACGGCTTGGTGATCTCATCCTTGTGGGCGTCCTTGACCTTTTGCCAGAACTTCTCGCCGTTCTCCTTATCATCTGCAAACATGGTGTCGATGACCATCCTCTGGGGCGTCTCACCCATCCACTGGAAGAGGGAGAAGTCTCGGAACTTGTCGGCACGGAAAATCTCGAGCATCTCCAGGGGCTCGTCGCCAATGTTCTCAACAAAGTGACCCATGTTCTTAGGTACAATACCAACGTCACCAGGGCCGTAGTTGAATGTTCTGGCGTTACCCTCGGAGGCAAAAATGGTAACACGGGCCTGTCCCTTGATGAAGAAAGACCACTCATCTGCAGTCGGGTGCCAGTGCATCTCCCGGACGGCGCCGGGCTCGATAATAGCGTGTGCTGCAGCGATGGTCTTGGAAATTTCGAAGTTGGTCGAGTCGGCAATGCGGACTTGGCCGCCAGAGGTCTTGTGTGGCTCCTGGTCGAGGAACTTGTGAGTGAACTTGTACTTGGATTTCTTGACCTCGCTGCCCGTGGGACGCTCCTCATCAATGGATCCGGGCTGGCTGCCCCTGAAGATGTACTTCTCGCCCTTGGGGAGGTGGGCGAAGACCTCGGGGGCCAGGTGGAAGTTCTTGGCAATAACTGACTTGGGCGTGTGTGCTAGATGGGCATATACGTTAGGATCATGGCTCATTCTTCGAAAGCAGGTTACGTACCAAGCCAGTCAGTTAGGACGAAGGTAGACTCCTCAGAGAAGTGACCGTCATCAAAGATGAGAAGGAATTCTGTACCATTCTCACCAAGACCCTGGAGAGAGTGAGGCACACCACTGGGGAAGTACCAGAGATCACCCTTCTTGAGGTCATCGATGAAATTACCGCCCTCATAATCGATTCCAGTGATGCGGACCTCGCCATCGAGAACGTAGGCCCACTCAGCTTCCTTGTGCCAGTGAAGTTCGCGAATGGTGCCAGGATCGAGTCTCATATTCACACCGGCCAATTCGACACTGGTCGGAAGCTCGCGAATGGTGGTCTGGCGAGTCCAGCCGCCCTCCTATTTATTGAATTTAGGTTAGCCAGTGCTCAATTGTCGTTCAATGAAAGAGGATCAATTGTTACCTCAATTCGAATGTGCGAATCGGCGAAACTCCAGCGCATATTGGCCAGGTTGCCATGGTCGGTGGAGGGTGGCCGTATGAGGTCTGGATTCTGTTTTGAGCGCTCCTTGTTCCATGGGCCAAGAACGGAGGCGCCCAGCCCATTCCTCCATGGGAGAGGATCTAGGTCTTCGCCAATGGGGTCGACGAAGTTGTCATTTGGGTCTTTATGCTCTGGGGTGTAGGGTTTGGTGTTCTGGTTCGAGAATTTGGAGGGCAGCGAAAGGCCATTGAGGAGACGCTGGCGAGGACTGTCCATGTGAGGAAGGGCAAGAGTAAGGCCCGCGCCGGCGAGCAGCAATTGAGTAGTGGAAGGCTTCATTTTTGCGGTGATGAAGAGCAATCACGATGAAATGATGACGAGGCGAACCAATTGATGGTGGCGAGACAACAACAAGCTCCAAGAGGCTGGGGAACTTGGGAGGGTGAGGAGCAAGGCAAGCTGGGAGCATATGGGCAGAAGGCTGCTAGATATGGGATCATTCCGAGGAGCTCCTCCGCGCCTAGAATGTAACCCGAAGCTACATATTCATTGAGCCGAGCAGATTGACCAATTGAGTCGAGCCCCCTCCCATCGCCATCTTCTGTGGTGACCGAATGCGTATCATGATGATACCAGTGGACGCGTACGCCAATGCCGAGGCGCCGAAGCAATTCCGGGCGGTAAGAGCAGCAGAAAACGGTGACACCATCAGCAAGGACAGCGAGGAGTCGAGAAAGAGGGCGCGCGAATGATACGTCGGAGCATGCAGGAGTCGCCAGAACGCCCATGTCTCTCTGCCCTGTTCGGAGGCTCTCGATTACCGAAATGGGATGGGATAAGCCGGTAGATAGATTCGAATTAGTAGCAATTAATGGCCAGGGAGCTACCCAGCGCCTCTTCCCTGCATACGGTAAGGAGTAGCTCCCTTGTATATGGCCAATACTACCTGACGGATTCGTGTGGATGGATGCCGAGTTAGGCGGGGTCATTCGTGACTAACATGCCCAACAAGTCGAGTTTGAGCGTATACATCCATATGATATATGGATGATATCACACCGAGCTTAGCCGGCGGAAATGGTGTCGCATGTGTGTAAGAAAAGAGACTTTCGTGCGGCATTCCTCGGCAGCTAAATCTGTAAGTCGTGCGACTCACACCCCTCCCTGACCGGGAATAGTTATGGAGTTATTCACAGACTCGCTTTGAGGCCTCTTATTTACGTGTATTGGGCCAGCGGTAATGTCCAAAAACCTTTTTAATCGTTTAACACACCAAAGACACGAGAAATGCTATATTCATGTTAGCAGCGTGCAAGTCGAATCCTGGTCCATGACTTTGCTGTCGATTTCAATATATCCTCAATAGTGAGATTTCCAGCTTTCCTCCAATTGGAATTTTACTGGATTTCAACACGTTTGTCGTCTATTCTGTCAGAACTTAACAAGTCTGTTTCGGTTCGTGCCTCCTATATCATATCAAGATCCCATAAACTGAGACTTGTATGTGGAATTCATGGTATTATAGTCGTCGAGGCACTGCTCAACTCTGACTTGGCCGGCTATCCAACATACCCATACCCATACCCAAGAAGCTAGGGATTCAACCTGATTGAAAGAGCCAGTTGCTTGTGGTGTATTCTTTATTGTACAGCTCAACGACAACCGAAAAAACCTGATTCTAGTCTTACGAGGGACTTATGTTTAATTATGACCAGAGGGTCATGTTGAAACCCCTTTCGGTTCGTCTTATAACGGGAATTCCAACGCAAGTCAACACTGTCGCCATTGTAAATGTGCATGGATTGAGAACGTACTTACTAATGAGGGCGTATGCATATTTCTAAGCTTATTAAAAGAGAGTTGCAATCGCTCTGTGAGGTGTGCTAGAATGCAGGGCGATGTTGCAACAGTCTCCAAATCGATTGCCTTTTTCTCTGTTCTCCAATTTATGATTTTCACAAGTTCAACAGAGAAAGGACATGATATGAAAGGTTATTACCTGGGCTTGAGCTTCCAAAGACTGCCAATTTTCTAGGTCGCTTATTTTTGAAATTGTTAGGTGTCCATAGCCATCCTTTGTAAGCTTGGAGACAGGAACTACCTACTACAGAGCCCTCACGTCCTTGTTGACTGCCGCCAATTCGGAGTGTAACGTGCCACTCCCTTTCTGTGATAGCACACGCTTTCACCTCCATGGGGGTGTAAATGACACACATGTCGGTGAAACAAATATCTGCTCTGCCCTCGCTTAGCACTTACGACAGGTGATGGACAAGAACGAGCAAACAGGCAGCATGAAGTCAACAGGCTTCGGGAAGTTGTATCCGGTGTCCCTGCTCCCCCGCCTGAAGCTAGTCATGGATCTTGTGAGGGGAATCTTGATCATTGGAATCTAGTTGCACTATCCCGGCACATGTTCTTGGCGTTTTGCTAGGGATTCTCTGATGATACCTTGGCCTGCGATCCATGTAATTCGAATATCCCGGGGCGGGGTTCGGGGCCTACTTCTGGGGTTCAAGACAATAGTGCTGTTACATTCGGACACCCCCCTAAATGACCAGCCTTCGGCCCTAATGTAAAGTGATCAGCCCCCTAAGCGCCTTCAGCTTACAGCGGCCACTCGCACCCCTCGGCTTTCGCAATGTGTCGGCATCTGCGGGAGAACTTTTTGGGACACAACGTCCTCATGGAGAACAATCTAGGCCATTTAAGCCTATCCTATCATGAAACCCCTTTTCGGTGATGGTGTGGTTAAAGAGGGGAATAGAAGGCATATTTGGGACGGCCCGGAGTGACTGATCATTTTAGTGATTACGTACGTTGTGTCTTGGCCTTCCCAGCTCCCATCATTCTTCAGCCACCTAAACTCGAGGTGCTCGCCACATTTTGAAGAAGCTTTCTTCTTGTCAGTATCTGGAATATATTTACAAAAGTTATACAATAATTCGTGCCAAAACTATGAGCGCGACCGAACCGCCTCCCGTCGCCACCAATGGCAATGCCGTTCGCGTGCCAGACGAAGAGCAGCCTTTGCTCGGCCAGCGGAAGCCTGCATCACCATCCGTCCTTGCCAAATTTCGCAGAACCATGACGGCCGAAGTCTGCCGTGACTGGGCTGACCTGGTGCTTCTGCTCTGTTACGTTGTCACCGGCCTTCTCGACAGCTCCTCTACCAAAGTCTGGGGCGCATTCGTCTCAATGCAGACAGGTCAGTTTCATCCTCCAAAAAACTTTATCTGAGCACATCGCTAACCTTGAAAATAGGAAACACGGTCTATGTAGGACTTGGAATCGCGTCGATCTTTGATCCGCCAATTTCCACGCGCCTCTGGAAGTCGGGCATCTCGCTCCTCTCCTTCTGCATCGGCTCCTTCTTCTTCGCGCGCTTCCATCGCTACTTCTCACCCAAGCGCCGCTGGGTCCTCTGCGCGTCCTTCGCAGCCCAGACGGTCCTCACAGCCTCCGCAGCCACCATTGTCACGCTGTTCCCGCCGTCACCAAATCCCAACGAGGTGACCTGGAACGTGCTCGTGCCTCTTGCCCTGGTGGCCTTCCAGAGCTGCGGCCAGGCGGTCGCGAGCAGGGCTCTCAAGTACAATGCCCTGACCAGCGTCGTGCTGACGAGCATCTACTGTGACCTCTTCTCTGACAAGGACCTGTTTGCGTCAAACAATGCGGAGCGCAACAGGCGTGCTGGCGCACCGACTCTGCTCCTGATTGGCGCCGTCATGGGAGGCGTGTTCTCTGGGACCTCTGTTGGGATCATGGGTGCGCTTTGGCTGGCAGCGTTCATCAAGTCCTTGATGGTGGTTGCGTGGTTCCTCTGGCCAGCGGACCCAGAACACGACGAATAAGACAATGGATCTTAATTACTGAACTAGAAGGGCAGGGAAACAAGGTCAAATTCAAGGCGGCAAGGCACAGACTAAATACCTTATTCAGAGTCCTTTAAGCGTCTCTCTGATACTCTCCTCCGGGCTATATTTGGTAAATGCTTCTTTCTTTCCACAAATTCTATTATGGGTAGTAGGCAACTGGCTGTATTGTTCATGGGGAGTTGGCAGGGTGTGGCATTCCGGGCAGAAACAACAGTGCGCAAGTACGATATACGCATACGGCATGATGATTGAGTTCTCCGAGCCGAAGTCTCATTTTCGTTTAGCCTGTCATTACAATCATATTCTTGTTATATGACTATCCACGCATGTCCCAAATCGGTAGCATGCGAAGAGATTCCCAGAAAGAAAGAAGCTCCGTGTCTCCACTTTATCGCCGGGCCAGCCGGAGCCAGGCCTCCGGACAACTCTTGAATGGATTATCAATGCTCATGGAAGCGCCCAGGCCACATGATGTAATGCCTGCCACGGGAGCCGAAGGTATTTACATTGTATGGGTGACTTGGATGGAGCTGCAGGGGAATGTCCTTGGCCTAAGGCTTGTGGCACCTCACCTTCTACATGCCCAGGCAGATGGGTGAGACTGGAAATGGCACGCCCAAGTATCAACCCTTTCAACAATAAGTTCAACCATCAAATTCAGAGAAATAAGTTAAAATGAAAATACGTACCCAATCTCTGAAATTAGAATTCAATTTCTTGTGTTTTGATTATTTTCTTTAATAGCTTTAGTGGCTATTTCTGGAGAATAGAAAGTAGGCTTCTACTAAGTTGTGAACTGAGATAGTGCCTGGATTTCCAGCATCACCCACTTGCCAGGGCCATGGCAAGTAGGTGAAATAAAACATGGCACACCAAAGCTCTTTCCGCATGAGACAGGGACCTCGTTTTTTAACTAAACACAATAAGAATAAAATAATAAGAGAATAATCAACTATTCTATGCTATTTAGCTTGTTATTGTATTCTATACTGGGTTATTTATTGTGATATTGTGTTGGAATCCATTGCTGAACTATCTCGATGTGCCATGTTTTATTTCACCCACTTGCATGGGAAAGTGGTGTGGCCTGATCAGATGGACCACGAGATAGACAAGCCTATTCAAGTGTCTAGGGCGTACATTGATATCTAATTTAAGAAGATTGTGAGTGATCAATTATTGAGATGTGACTTAGCATGGCAACTTCGATCCGGGTCCGCCACATCCCATCCACCAGTGGTGGAGATGAGGTCAATTAGGAATAGTGGTTGGGGTTCCTAGAGGGGAAGATATTTGATGATCTGGGGTATTGAGAAATCCTAGAGGTAGTTGCAACCAAGGTGCTCGTTTGATGCAGTGTTCACACAGCCAAGGCGTTCAGTGTGAGTCATTCAGTCACTATCGAAATTGCCCGACAGTCAGTTCACACTCGCCTAGGTATGCAACACAAGGCTGACGTAC